AAACTGTAGTTATGTAAGTATATAGATCAGTGGTGTTACAAACAGGATGTGACGTCATCATACGACACAGTTCATGGGGGGCAACTCTGGGAAGGCGTCGCCATTTTATTATTGTGAATTGTGAGCGGAAAAGAAAACAAACCAATTTGTATTTTCCAATTTATTCTTTTTACATTACTATAGCAGTGAAATGTCGTAGTGAATTCAAAGGGAGGCTTTTTAAGACAAAACTTGTTCAAACAAAACAAAAAGAGATAGAAACCCAGGAATTCAAAATTGCTGGAAAAACTGCTGACTTTGGAGCTCCTAACTTGAGGAATCATTTTCAATAAAGCCGTTTGACATGACACGTCCTGCTTGTTCAAAATAGGTTTGAAATGCATTCAAATAAAAAAGACCATCAAGTCATGTGATCAAAATGATCGAACAATTTGGTCACGTGTTATTTCTTTCCGAATAATCAAACGGCTCTGAGCATTTTGATTTTGTTTGCTGCAGACGCCAACTTTGGTAATTTTATTACTAACATTAGAAAACAAATAAGAAAAAGCTAAAAGTAAAGTCTACTATGTAGGAAGTTTTGCCTGAATATATGCATTCATAGAAAGCTTGAGCTTTTTTGTAAATTTTAAGCCGGTTTTCAAGAATATATACTGTATTCATGATTGACCGTGCTGTTCGCATGCGTGAAAAGACTGGGACTGGCCAGCCTTCTATCAAAGATGACCCACCAAAATATGTAAAACATGAGTCATGCTTTTTAGGATCCGGGGGGCACCTGGCAAAATAATGGGGTGCAAGCATGTGCATTTAGTTATTTTCATTTCTTGTAATGGAAATTTTGTATCTTCGTGTGTTTTAAATGTGCTTGATTCGTTTGTGATTGTAAGTAGAGTTCTTACGTATTAAATGATTAATTAAAATCACTACAATAGCCCCAAAATTATGAAAACGGCACTTTAGAACAAATTCATTGTTCTATACTATTATGCATGTATATTTCAGAGTCCAAATACATTTTCACATAATAAACAAACTTTATTCAAACTAGTGCAGAATAAAGTTGCTTGTACCCCTTCCTGGGATTATTTCAGCCCCCTTGACTATAAATCCTGGCTACGTCCCTGTTCACATATACTATATAAAATAAACCCCTGAAACAAGTAACAACCATATAATAGAGACAATTGAATGAATATTTGATGGTATTGTACGGTAGATGGAAATGTGCGTTAGAGCTTGACAACTGGCCTATGTAGCTCACAGGCGGCCCAATTGTGCCAGATTACGCAACATTACTTTAAATTTATTTTTTATCGTAATACTTCATGTAATAATATTAGAAATATATCAATATATAATTTATCGAAAAAGTTTTGTTTTAGCGCTATGACCGATCAATTAGAAAGGAAAAAGGCTACACGTCGTGGGAACAGAGCAGTTATAACGAAATACAGTAACGAAGCGAAGGAATTATTGGCAAATGGGGAAAATATCGACGAAAATATGAAGGATCGTTTAAACACGTTGCACGATTTTCTTGAAGAAAAATTACAAGTGGTAAAGAAATTCGACGAAGAAATCTTACAGTTATGCGAAGTTAAAGAAATAGAAAACGAGATTGAAATATCCGAGGAATTAAATTCACGAGTTCTTGATGTTAAAAAAACAAATATCCAAGTTTTTTGCGAAGAAAATCGACGATACGGGAAAAGTACCTATTCACGATATATCTATACCTGGTCAAAATACCCCGCAAGTAGAAATAACAGAGGTAGGTGAAATTTCCTCTAAAGTTAATGTCAATAATGAAACAATAAACGAACAGGACAATGTTAATTCAACCCAAGATCCTACACCAAGTAACCCAACCTTAATTCACCCAGACCCTAGTAGTCCAGTAACCAGTCAATCAAGTGGAAATTACGTCATAGGTTATGGTGGAAAAACGAAGCTTCGAAAGTTAACTTTACCCCGGTTCAGAGGAGATATTACTAAATTTCAACCATTTTGGGATAGTTTTGAAAATGCTGTCCACAAGAATACAAGTTTGTCAAGCATTGACAAATTTAATTACTTATATTCCTTGTTGGAGGGTTCAGCATTACTGGTTATTAAGGGATTGGCTTTGACGGAAGAAAACTACAAGGTTGCAATTGACATTCTTAAACAACGTTATGGCAATACTCAAGTTATCATATCCGCCCATATGGATGAGATGTTAAAACTTCCCGACTGTTCGACTGGAAAGGTACGCGATCTTCGAAGAGTGTATGATAAAATTAATGTTAACGTAAGAGGGCTTGAGGCACTTGGAGTAAAATCGAGTAAAACAATATGGTAGTCTACTCATTCCAGTAATCATGGCAAAACTACCACCCGAGTTACGAATCCATATTGCAAGAAAGACTGCCAGTGAACTTTGGAAAATTGACGATATTCTGGAAATTATTCGAAAGGAAGTGGAAGCACGGGAGATCAGTGAGAGTGTTCGTACAAACAATTCTAGTTTTAATGACATTCGCAAGCAAAACGAAGTATGGAAACCAAATCGACAGCGGAATTACAGTTCATCTGCGGCAAGTCTATTCGTTAAAGATGGGAAAAATGAGCGAAAGATAAAATGTGTCTATTGTGGACAATATCATTACTCAGCATCGTGCGAACATGTGAAAGATGTGGATGATCGAAAGGGCATTTTAAGAGATCAGAAACGTTGTTATTTATGTTTGGAAGGTGGTCATTGTGCACATGAATGTGAAAATGGCAGGCTCTGTCGTTGGTGCAATGGCAAACACCATCAATCTATTTGTACTAAAGCTACCAAAACATTTCGAAAGATCAATCCTAAAGAAACAACAAAACCAGAAGCGAAAGAGGAAAAAAAGGAAACGCAGAACCTCACAACAACTACAACGTCCAACGGCTCATCAAAGGTGCTTTTGCAAACTGCCACGACATATGCTTATTCTCAACATAGCAACAGAGCTATTCCTGTTCGAGTGCTTTTAGACAGTGGTAGTCAAAGATCATACGCAACCAATCATCTGAAGAAACGACTTGGCCTTCAACCAGTAAAGAAAGAAACGCTTAACTTGAACACATTTGAGCAGGATAAGTTCACAAAACAGAAATGTGATGTTGTTAGTTTAAACCTGAAAGGCAAAGAAGGCAAAGATATCGAAATTTCAGCTCTTTGTTTTGAGAAAATCTGTTCACCTCTTCCTACCAAGATTGAGCTCGATAAGTATCCGCATTTGATGGGATTGGATCTTGCTGATTCCTCTCTCGCCGAGAACAGTCATGATGAAATCGACATCTTGATAGGATCTGATTATTATTACGACATTGTAATTGGAGAAATTGTAAGAGGAGAAGGTGGTCCAGTGGCGGTCAACAGCAAATTTGGATGGGTTCTCTCTGGGCCATCGAGAGACATTGGAAAAAATAACAATGCAACATTATCGCACTTAGTAATCGAACGAGAAGAACCTGCAACATATCTATTGCCCGGCAGCATCAAACGAGATGATAACCTGACAGATAGTCTTCAAAGATTCTGGGAGACCGAATCGATTGGTATCAAGAATGATACGTTTAGTGAAACCCAGACAACGGAATTTCTACCCGAGATACATTTTGATAAAGGCGAAGGAAAATATGAAGTTAATCTGCCTTGGAAACAGGACTGTTTTCCAAAGTCAACAGGATATGGTATGTGTGTCAACAGATTGCGACAACTGCATTCACGTCTGAAGAAAGACAATACTCTTCTTGAAGAATATAATCAAGTCATTCAGCAGCAAATAAATAGTGGTATCATTGAATCAGTACCAGAAGAAGACGACAACGAGGGTTACTACTTACCACATCATGGAGTGTTGAAGTCCGAGAGAGAGACTACAAAACTACGAGTGGTTTTCGATGGATCAGCAAGACCGGATATAGACAGTCCATCCATAAATGAATGCTTACAAAAGGGTCCCAACCTTATACCGCCTTTATTTGATACAATAATATAATTCAGAAGTTATCCAGTGGGGATTGTTTCTGATATTGAAAAGGCCTTTCATCAGGTGCAGATTAGTCCATCCGATCGTCGTATGCTTAGGTTCCTTTGGTTCGATGACATTCGAAAGGACAATCCCACTATTAAAATATTCCAATTCCGACGCCTTGTATTTGGCTTAACACCGAGTCCAGCAATTTTGTCCACCGTGATACAAAATCATTTATCACAACATGACGAAAAAGGTTCTGTTGTACCCCAACTGTTAAAAGAATCGCTCTACGTTGACGACTTCGCAGGAGGAGCTGATAATGATCAAGAAGCATTGGACATTTACGATAAATCTCAAGATGTAATGAAGAAGGGTGGATTTGTTTTGCGTAAATGGAATTCGAATTCCAAGGTTTTACAAGATCGAATTGAGAAAGATACATTGTCAAACGGAACACAAACGACATCAAGTTCAGTTTTCGAAAGTGAAAAAGAGATTGATTCAAAACAACATAGCAAGGAAATTACGCCTGTCGATATATTAGGATCTAACTGGAACGTTAAAACTGACAAATTCCAATTCGGTGTAAAGGAACTTGTTGAATATACCAAAACACTACCCGCTACAAAGAGATCTGTACTAAAGGCTTCAGCAAAGATTTTTGACCCAATTGGAATACTTAGTCCATTTACAGTCAATCTTAAGATCTTGTTCCAGTTGCTTTGCTGTGATCGCGTAGATTGGGATGAGAAACTCGATGAAAATTTATTAGCCTGTTGGAACTCGCTGTTACAAGGATTAGAGTCAATCAATTCAATTGAAGTACCAAGATGCTACTTCAGTCGTTTCAATGTACCAATAACGAGCCAGCAAATCCATGGGTTTGGTGATGCCTCCGGAAAAGCATGGTTGGAACTTCTAGGAGCTACTATCCTTGCTCGATTGGTTAGCTCGATTAGCAAGATACTTTGGTCTCGATTAGTAAATCCGAAGATATTCATGTGGACTGATTCGTTTACCGTACTTTGTTGGATACAAAATGATAAACCGTGGGAGCAATACATACAGAGAAGAGTCGACGAAATTCGAAAACTCGTTGGAGAGGATAAATGGATGTTCTGCCCAGGAGAATTTAACATTGCAGACTTACCTTCGCGAGGTTGTAGTGGAGCAGCACTGGTTAAAAACGACGAATGGTTCCATGGTCCTAATTTCCTGAAGTTATCAGAAGAAAACTGGCCGAAACCTCCTCGATGTAATGGAGCAGAAAGTGAAATCGCATTATCGGAAACGGTGAAATCAGTCAACAAGTCAACAACTCATTCCCTTACAGTCTTAGAGAAGAAACATAACACAGTTAGTGTCGGAAAGGTGGTGGATTGTCATCGATATAGTTCGAGAATACGATTATTACGAGTGACGGCTTACGTATTTAGGTTCGTAAGGAGGATTAAAGGACAAACCGTAGATAAAACGTTAGAACTATCAGCAGACGAACTGATCGAAGCCGAACAGGTATGGATAAAGGATATTCAGAACAATATGTTTCCCGAAGAAGTTAAACAATTAATTAATCGTACGAAAACTTCCAGCTCAAGGCTTGATCAACTACGCTTATTTCTGGACGAAAAAGGAATTAAAGGAACACTGAACCGTATTCGAGAAAGATATTGGATCCTACATGGAAGGCAAGCAGTCAAGCGGGTTCTACGTAAATGTGTGACATGTAAACGATTAGAAGGGAAGCCGTACCCTACGCCCAAGACTCCGCACCTACCATCTTGGCGAACAAGTGATGACCCTCCCTTTAGTTACACGGGAGTGGATTTCGCTGGACCCCTCAACGTCAAAGAGAACTCAAAATGTGGTCAACAATCAACAAAAAAGTCATACATCGCTCTATTTACTTGTGCGTCAACACGGGGAATTCATGTAGAACTGCTTCCGAGTTTATCAGGTGAAGGATTCTTACAAGCATTTCGTAGATTTTCAGGTCGCAGAGGACTTCCAAGAATGATAATTTCAGATAACGCGAAGACATTTAAATCCGCTAGCAAGGAACTGTCAAAAATTAAGCGTTCTCCCGAAGTGCAACAACATCTCGCAAAAAATGGCGTTTCTTGGAAATTCATTATCGAAAAGGCCCCATGGCACGGGGTTTTTTGGGAACGTTTGATAAAGAGTGTTAAAAGATGCCTGAAAAAGTCCATTGGTCGAGCTACGTTATCGTTTGAAGAGTTACGCACGATCTTGATCGAGATTGAGTCAACGTTAAATAATCGTCCAATTACGTACATATATGATGATGAAGAAGGGATATCCTACCCCCTTACGCCATCTTGTCTACTTTATGGACGGAGAACGACGACTACGCCAAACGACAGCCAGTTCGAGATAGTGAGCACAAACGAGTCTTTGACAAGACGAGCTCGACATCACAAAACTCTACTAAAGGAATTCACTAAACAATGGAGACGAGAATATTTGCTAAGCATTCGCGAAGCAGCGAGATCGAGTAACAACGGTACAAGGGACGTAATTGTCGAAGGAGACATTGTAATTTTGAAGAACGAGAGCACGAAACGGTTATTTTGGAAAATAGCGATGGTCGAAGAGCTTATTCGAAGTATTGACGGTGTTGTAAGATCAGCGAAGATCCGAGTGTTGAACAGTGAGACTCGAAAGCCTATCATCATACGGAGACCTATACAACATTTAATCCCATTGGAAATTCGCTCGAAATTCGGTAACGAGCATGAAGAAGACCTAGTTGATGTGAATGAAGAATCATCCGGAACACAAGATCTCAGTACAGAACCATTATAGACAGTGATGTTAAGAAAGGCAGCTGTTCAAGGAGAACTTGTACGAAAACTGTCAAAACAAACGTAAAAACATTAGGAAAATGTTCATCAGTTCATATTTAGTTTAAGTTAGTCATTTGATCATGTTTAATGATCAACCCAGGGACTGTGACAGATTACGCAACATTACTTTAAATTTATTTGTTATCGTAATACTTCATGTAATAATATTAGAAATATATCAAGTTTCAAACACCAATCTTACCCTGTGTTATTAATTTATTACGTTATATCTTTATATAATAGTATATTGAAAATCATTAGAAAATCCTGTGTTATTAATTTATTACGTTATATCTTTATTTCAAACACTCATTAATAATTCATAAGCTTATTGACAAATCATGTCAACTATAATATGTCACGTGCAGTGGCTTTAAACCTGATAAAACACTCCTAATTAGTATTCTTTACATAAAGAATACTAATAAGGCAGTATCTATTGTTGTCGTGTCCTCATTAGTATTTTTTATATAAAGAATACTAATAAGGCGGTATATCTATTGAATTTGTTAATAAAACACTCCTGCTCGTTTATTAAACAGTACATAATAGTATATTGAAAATCACTTACATGTGTTTCCTGAAAGATCTTAACGAGAACCGGCCAAGATTGGGGATTTGAGTCATGTCAACCCCAACTATGGCCGTTAACCTCTTGTCAACGCCAATCTTGGCCGGTTCTCGTTAAGATCTTTCAGGAAACACATGTAAGTGATTTTCAATATACTATTATATAAAGATATAACGTAATAAATTAATAACACAGGGTAAGATTGACTGAGCCGCCTGTGTGTAGCTCAGTTGGTTAAAGCACTGCACCGGAATCACAGGGCCGCAGGTTCAACTCCTGCCAGGGATCTAAATTTTCACTTTTCGCTTCTGTTCCTGGTTCGGTCTAATTATGTATAAATTTCCACTCAACAATTTCCTTCCACAAAACACATCAAATATAATATATATTCATGAAGTTATATTATCTGGTGTGTATGATTTAATTGCGATGATGGTGCAAGCCTGAACTGATACTATGACTTTGGACATATATTCTATAAGAATTGGAATCAAATTATGGTTTTGTGGCCCAATGTTGCATTGCTTTAAGGAGCTTAGTTATAGAGAAAATAGAGACAGAAACGTCACTTTATGTCAGATGGAGTAAAAATCGCTTTGGACAAGCCTAAAAACCAATACCTTCCATGTACAGTATAAACCACTGTGTGCTCACAGAACCAACACGTTGAGAGCAGAGCCTGATTTCCCCTCGCGTAGAAAGTTTAGTTTTGTTTGGTATGTTTTGTTTGTCCAAAATTCTAGTTACAACCGGTTTTAAACGCGTGCGCCTTCGTTTTGCATGCAACCGATGACTACAATTTGAGCCCACTATATATATACAAAATTTAAAACTTTATACTTTACAACCAAAATTTGGCTGACAATAACTTAAATATACGTACCGTACTGAAAAGTAACGTAGGATAAAATAAACTAACAAATTAGGCAGGGCATTTTTTAAGAAATTACAACTACTGGAGCTTAGTTTCAATGAGGGCCTTTTCCCTACATAGCTTATATGGGTATATAAAATCACTCTGTGCTCAGCCTCAGGGACAGCACTAGTGCTATTTAAATAGGGGGTTGGGTGGGGTGGGGTGGGTTGGTTTGGGGTGGTGTGGTATGGGGTTGGGTCGGGTTGGGTCGGGTGGGGTCGGGTGGGGTCGGGTGGGGCGGGGGCGGGTGGGGTGGGTGTAAGTGAAATATTGCCTACTAACTTCAAACGCTAATTAGTATTTCTTTTCACCAACTGGTATTAGATAATTTTCCAACTACCTGACAATTGGGGGTGTTCCACACCCACAACCTACTTTTGACACTTTTAGCACCACTCCTACATGTGCCGGCTTTTATAAGGGCTAAGGAATTAATGTCGAGAATGTGAGAGGATATGAAAAAGCAGGCAGACACAGCATTTTCAACAAGGTTAACCATTTACTAATTAATGATCAAAAGGGCCCAGTTCATCTGAAAATCATACTTCAGTACTGGGGCAAGCAAAGGGCCTACTGGGCCCCAGTAGTTATAATAATTACTTACTTAGAAAATGCCCTGAAGTTAGCAATTGTAAAAATATAGTAATAGTTTGATTTCACAACCGACAAGTGACAAAGCTATCGATTTGGAAATACTTTTGTATTGTTTATACGGCATGTGCAGTTGCACACGCCCAGCATGTGGCGATAACTGCATGCGATTGGTTCTCTAAATTAAGCAGTCATTTTAAAAATACAAGACAGTGATCTTTGACATATGTTTTGACATATATTGGAAACAGCTACTGAGCATGACACAAAAACGGCAGAGCCCTATTTTCTATGCAAGGGGAAATCAGGCTCTGCTCTCAATTAGGTAATATTTCCCTAATTAATTCGTTGTGAGTAGCAATTTCAAGGGCAGTGAATGACAACTCAAATTCAGTCACAAATATATTGTTGCAGGTCAATTGGACATCTCTTAGTCAGGCCACTAATAATAATCTGACTCTTTAAAAAAGGCATTTTTTATACGAGACACAAATCATGTTGTTTTGTCTATTTTGCACACATTTTTTGCCTGTTATACCAAAAAGTGCATGTTCCAGAATTGCTTGGCCTCCTGCTATTAAACAACGTGTCGTGTGATAGATCATCACAGTCGGACTTGAGTAAACAAGCTTTCACTTCTTAATAATCTTTTAGACACAACGTTTACCTGGTACTAAAGGAAATGGCCATTATTTATGGGGAGGGGGGGGTGGTAAATGGGGAAAATAAGGATTGAAAACTATTTTGACCACCCCTTCAGACTGAAAGCAAACTTTTTGTCCCCCTCATAAAAGTAGAAACTTTTCTGAACCCCCCCCCCCAGTGTGGATTGAAAAACTAACAGCAATGAAACAAGTGTGCGTTAGATATTAGGGCAATCTGTTTAATCTAGCAAATGTGAGCATTTTCCGAAACAGATTTTTGGATATACAGCGTTACATTGTGCTTTGATAGACCAAATCTGATCAGTTATTAAGTACTTCTTGCATGGTATGTTTATGTAAATACAACAATTGGGTCACTCAGGGGGTAGGAAGCTTGTTAAACTTAGTGTGCCCGACTCCCAGAAGGCGCTAGCATGGTTGGCACCGAGCAGGGGCATTTTGAGTCTCTAGATCATTGGAAATGGCATTTTCAGAGTCTTCTTTACCTCTTCGGCATTATGATTTACGAGTCTATGCTGCTCGGTGATAATATAGAAATCAGAACTCCAGACATGGTATTTAAGTTCAAAAACTTTTTTGACCCCCCCCCCCTTTCTCTAGGTTAAAATTGTTTTGGCACCCCCCCCTATTTATAAGGGTAAAACTTCGTCCCCCCCCCCTCCTTTCTATTTACCACCCCCCCCTCCCCATAAATAATGACCACTCCCTAAAGGCTGTAGAGTATGCTAAAATTTGTCCACTTTTTTGTCCCCACCCGTTATACAACATATAGAAATATAGATACGTTCGCTGCACGCGCTACGAGTCCGATACATATTATCTCCAAAAATATACGAGTCTGTTTATAACTGTATATGAGTAAAATAGCTAGAGCAGCACAAACCTTGAATGAGGATTTAACGTTCTAAACACTTGTTTCAGCACTGGCGTCTGTTACTTGAATGATGTATTTCTTTTAATAACTGGAAATAGTTTAACGTGGAAGTATGAATTATTCAACGATATTGTTTGATACATTCTGTGAACCATTGACTTCCATTGGGCTATTCCATTTAATATCCGTACACCCCCTGTCGAGGATACATGTTTTTTATGGTTATACCCCTGAAGAATTCCAAGCTCAAAACCTTTTACCCCTGAAGAATTCCAAAATTCCAAGCTCAAAACCCTTTACCCCTGAAGAATTCCAAGCTCAAAACCTTTTACCTCTGAAGAATTCCAAAATTCCAAGCTCAAAACCCTTTACCCCTGAAGAATTCCAAGCTCAAAACCTTTTACCCCTGAAGAATTCCAAGCTGAAAACCCTTTACCCCTGAAGAATTCCAAGCTCTGAAAAATTTCCAATCAAACCTCCTTACCCCTGAAGAATTCCAAGCTCAAAACCCTTTACCCCTGAAGAATTCCAAGCTCAAAACCCTTTACCCCTGAAGAATTCCAAGCTCAAAACACTTTACCCCTGAAGAATTCCAAGCTCAAGACACTTTACCCCTGAAGAATTCCAAGCTCAAAACCCTGTACCCCTGAAGAATTCCAGGGATCCTCGACAGGGGGGGTACGGATATTAAATGGAATAGCCCATTGCTAGGCTGGCAAGCAGTAAATCCACAGGTGGCCCAGGCTCTGTGTGGGTATTTATTTCAGTTTTTTATTTAAAAATTTATAAAGTAAAATTTTACTTAATTTTATGCACTAGTTAAAACATGAGCATCCGATCTTTATCTGATATAGAAACTCGGACCGAAGGCCGAGAGTTCATTGGCGAAGTAATTTTTAATTTAAAAATAAACATTGTCTGAGCCGAGAAAATCAGAGCTGAAGTTTATGTAAATCAGGACAAATCTTTTATCCGATTTACAAACATTGATTAATTATTAAACATTCATTTCCTTTGAATTTTCGTCATGAATTGTTAATGAGTATTTTAAGTATTCTATGTGATTTGGGGGTGGTTTTAGTTTGATATAATCACATAAGAACAATACTAGGACAATACTCTAACGAATCCAATTTGGCCTTAAATGGGAAGAAAACAAAGTGGTTACTGTTATCAACCAGGGGCCGGTTGTATAAAAAAGTGATTAAAGTTAACTATGATTAAGTGCAAACGTCATGCAATAAGAAGCGCCTATTTGAGAGTTAATCACTATTTAACTACGAAATAGTGATTAAAAAAGTGATTAAGAGTTTTATACAACCAGCCCCAGGCAAATGTCAAGACTTCATGGATTACAAGATGCTGCTGTTCAACTGACATGTAACGGAGAAACCATGGAATGGCTGCAAAGCATCAAACTTCTTGGGGTTACTATGGACGAACATTTCTCTTGGGTCGAACATGTTAAGGCACTCCTCTCTTCACGTTATGGAGTTTTGTCTGTGCAGAGGAAGTTACACAACTTAGCGCCATTCCACGTGCGGAAACAGCTAGGAGAAAGCCTGGTCTTATCGAAATTGGACTATTCGTGTGTTGTGTTTCACCCACTATAACTATACCAACAGAAGCAACTACAGAAAGTCCAAAACGTATGCGCAAGTTTCGTATTAGGACGTTACGCAAGAAAGTACGTTACGTCAAGTGCTTCTATCTGAATTTAAAGTTTTGTACTTTAATAATTGGCCTGAATATATTAAGGTAGATCAGTATGTACCAGGACGAACTCTACGATCATCATCAATCATCATCACAAATCCAACTTGGAGTGCCCGCCAAAAGCACACAATTTCTTAAACACACACAGTCCGCCAGCCCGGCCGCCAATCTACTGCATTTTAATTTTTTAACGCCAAAAACTCCTTCGTACCACGCCAAGTGGCTATACTTTCCGCCAAAGATCTTGAGCTGATGGGTATCGGAATCCAATCAGGGGAGTGCCAACCGAAAGCGGAACATTTCAGGACAGTGCTGCAGCTGCATTTAACTCTCTGCCAGATAGTTTGCGAAATTGCAATGATTTCAACATTTTTAGAACAAAAAATGTAAATAAAAATAATTTATAACTTTATAAAGTTAATTTGTATTAGTGTACCTCATATATCTTGAACGGAGTTGAACCTGACATTATCTGACACTATTCTCCTTTGTTATATTAGTTTGTTTTTTAAATTTTTTAGGGTGGACTACTAGAATTATCCCATACCTGTGTTAAAAGCGGCTTTCTGATTGGTTTAGAGCAGGTGAGCTTGTCGTCGAGCTCACCTGCTTTTTGCCGAGCTCACCTGCTTTTCGCCCGAACTCACCCGCTAAACTGCTTACGTTGCAATAACAATAACAAATATGGCGGACAAGATTTAGCCGATAAACCTGAACTTTAAAGAACTTTTTTCGGTGACTAACATACTGAGACTGAAGAAAAACCAAAGAAAAAATGCAGTAAAGGTAATGTAGACGTAGATAAAGAAGTATTTTCTTGCCCAGTGATTTTTTTGGCCGGGAAAATGTTCACAAAACATCGACGAGACGACGAATATATCGCGAAGAGCTACAAATGTGTGTATGGCTCGGTGTATGGGATAAAAAACAAACGTACTTGCAGGTTCGGTGAGTCCGGGATTGGACGCACCTCGGGTGGCTGGAAGTTTCCCGAACTCACCTCGCTTCGCTCGGTAAGTTCGGGAAACTTCCAGCCACCCTCGGTGCTTCCAATCCCGGACTCACCTCCCTGCAAGTACGTTTGTTATAAAGCCCTGACGGGCTTGTTAGTCTTCCTTCCTGTCCATATCAATTGTATCTTTATATTTTATCAAAACTGTAACTGTATAATGGTAAAATAAAATATCTATCTATCTATCTATCTATCTATCTAAACAAGTGTGAAAGTCTATCTCACAGACTTGGCCCACGAGAGGCTTGGGCCGGGGTATAAATGACTGTTTTGTTACATCTGTTTTGTAAAATATGTACTATGACTGGGTGAATGTACTGTATAGATACATGGCTACTCATTGTAAATATAGTACTTGTTAATATAGATTAGTTAATTTAGTGATAGAAGAGCCAATTCAATTTGGAATCGCTATGTTATTATTATTATTATTATTATTATTCAATTCAATTCAATTCAATTCAAAAGTCTTTTTAATAGATCAAAAGATAAAAATACATATCTTATGTTACAAGTACATATTAAGAATACATTAGTAAAGTTTACATCATATGAATAGGTTATAGTTAAAAATTAATCTATTTGCAAACGACAATTTAAAACGTTCCGTGTTCACTCTTGGATACTGACTAAACTCTGTCCTCAAAGAGTAGCTTGTGGATTTTTTCTTGGTATCAAGTCGACTATGGCACTCTTCTGATTTACAGAAGCCTTAAAAATATTTCTGTCTTGTATTTCTAAAAGATATCTAATATTTACAGGTTCTGATATATACTTTCGCTTAAAACATCTGTCAAAAAACCGTTGTAGAGTATTGAGTTAGGCTGGAGAAGAACCGTAGATGGACAGGCCAAACGTTATAGTAGATATTACTAGGGTCTTAAATAGATAATCTATCTCACATTGGCTATAGCCTTCTGCCCTGAGTGTTCGTATAACGTACAAGCATTTGTTTGCTTTGACCAATTTACCTCGCACATGACTGGTGAACTTGAGATTGTCTTGAAAAGTAGTACCTAAAATTGGAAGTTCTTTGCATTGGGGTATATTATAAACATTGTCAAGTTGATCATTATATCGCTTCTTCAGGATGATAAGCTCTTTACATTTACCAGGGTTACAAGTCATAAAATTATCATCAGACCAGCTCAGGAATTGTCCAACTGTATCTGTTGATGTATCAGGACCCTCACTCCAAACTGGCACTATTATATTTGAATCGTCCGCATATTTAAAAAGAGCGTTCTCGCCGTCTATGTCCACCTCTAAATCATTTAGGAAAATATTAAAAAGGTAGGGGCCACTTACGCTCCCCTGTGTTGTACCCTTATTAACATCCATCCATTCTCCACAAAAATTGTTACAAACGACTCTTTGCTTTCTATTCTTTAGAAAATTTAAATACCAATTTATGATATAAGGGTTGAGTGGCACAGTTTTTAACTTTTCCGAGAGGAGTGAATGTTTCACTGAGTCGAAAGCCTTGCTAAAATCCATAGAAAACAGTCTAACTGCTTTGCAGTCCGCTCTATCTAAGAAGCTGAGTACTTTGTTCTGAATAGTTAACAGAGCGTTTGTACAACTCCCCCCCTGCCTGTACGCAAATTGCGTTGGGGATAAAATTTCCTCAACTGTCGACTTGACCTGACTATTATAAACGAGCTTTTCGAAGGTCCTCGCAATTACAGGTGTAATATTTATTCCACGAAAGTCACCATCTTCCTTTGGTAAATCAACCTTTGCAAGAGGGTTAATATTCGCTCTTTTCCATGAATCTGGCCAAGTATGTGATGAAAGGGACAAATACCAGACGTTAGTTATAACTTCGGTTAGAATTTCCGCATGATCATTCCAAACCCAATAGGGAATATAATCGGGACCTGTTGCTGTCCTCTTTATTCTTTTCAAGGCATTCCATACCTGCTGTTCCGTAAAGCTAGGAATATCTACTTCATCACCAATAATTGAGAGCGTCGGTTCGACATAACTATCATCGTGGCAGAGTTCGCCAAAGTAGCGATTTAATCTTGTAAGTGATGCATTATCTAAAGTAACTCTTGATGACGATGCATTTCGCTGAGAAATATCATTCGCCTTTCTCCACCAAGTTCTACTTCCCACCAAGGCCCTAAAATTTCTTCTGTTTTGACAAATGACATCAGAAATCCTTTTGTTAATTAAACTGAGTCTATCCTTTTGCGACCGAGCAATTCTGGATTTAGATTTTAGCAAAGATTTAATTAAAGGACTCATCCAGTAAGGGTCACGTGACGAAATTGAGACTGTTTTTGTGGGCATACATTTATTCATATGATCCATGATCTTACGTTCAAGACAATTCACAGTGTCATTTACATTCGTGGACTGCGATACATCCTCCCAATCTTCTTCTGCTAAAGCTTTGTGGAAATCTTCCTTTCGATGCTTTCTACAATCCCGAAATTCAACCTTTCGGCGCATAGGTTTTAGTTTCGTCCCTGCTGGTAAAATAACCCCCATGTGGTCTGTTTTAGTTAACATGTGGAAAGGATAACATTTTGAGAACAAATCTATTCTATTTGTAAGGCAGTTATCCAAACATGCGTTACCCCTTGTTGAAAAGTCGACCATTGCATCCCATCCCGATAGTTCCTCAAGGTGTTTTATGTCCAAACTGTTCAAATCCCCTCCACAAACAATTACAGTGTCTGGATATTTGTCCAGAACGTCGTCAGAAATATTTATCAAATAATCCAATAAGTCGCTCTCCAGATAATTGTGCCTAGGTGGGTGATAAAGGCCATATATCGACATGCGGTTTCCTGTAGGTAACAGAAGTGTGACACCAATAAGTTCGTACAAATATCAATAACTTTTAAGTTGTTCCGAACATATATTGCTACCCCTCGTTTTGCTCTCATATCGCGTCCTTCCCAACTTCTATCTCTTCTAAATATTGAATAATTGTGAATGGTCACCACAGCATCTGGCATTTCAGGTTTCAGGTGACTCTCGCTCACCACACATATATCTATATCGTTATTGACCAAGTCTGCCTCCAGTGCAACTACAGCTCGTACTCGATTTTTTGTTTTTGCCAGACTACATATGTTGATAAACATAAACTTAGGAACAGCAAAACCCGACTCTCTCGAAGGAACTTTTCTTGTGGATGTTAAATTAATTGGAATTAATGCCTTGTAATTGGGAACACGTGATGTAACAGGATATTTCTTTTTTTCTCGGTTGCGCAATGGTTGGTATCGGTTGTTGTATTGTATAATCATTTTCATGGTTATTGGTTTTTGCACAGATTTGCGCTAAACCAATGTTTCTATTCGTTGTAAAGGAAATGAAGGATGGCGGGGTAACTTGAATGGATTTGTCACTGTCATGCGAACAAAGTTTAGATATGCTTGCCACTCCTTCATAAAATTCCCAGGTTTTGTCCATGGATAATGAAACCGGGGGGCTTGTTGAAAAGGGCGCGGATAAATATGTTTCTCATTTGCTTGGTTTCTCGCAGTCTGCATAGAAGCGGGTCTTCTATTATATTTATCGGTATAGTTGCCATTATGTACCTGTTGGTTCTTTCGGTATTTACTATTTCCTCGGATGGTTTTCATTTTAGCGTTTGATGGGACACGGTACGTAATCCTAGTTGGAATAGGTTGGGATTCTTTATGGGTAGGGGGAATAACTTTACTGGACCTGGTCAATCGATGGTTCGATGGCTCAATGTTTTCATTAGCTTTGGGAGGCATGCATTCTTTAGCTGGTAAGGGCTTACGTTTTGAATTGTTTCCCTTGTCGCAGACAACCGCCGGTTGATTATTTAAAGAGGGACTGCAAAATACGGCAGTTTCACTAGAGCCCTCCATGGGGACACATACTTGGTGGTTATTTACTAGGGAGCTGATAGTAGAACCATTAGTTGCGCTAGGGCTTCGTTTGAGACAGTTGAGGGCAGGTAATATGATAGGGTGCTACTAATAACATCATTGGTTTCAGCGTTTTTAATAACGTTATTAGATTTATTCTTAGGAAACGCTTTTTGTTCGAGTTCCGCCAGGCGTGACTTTAGATTTAAATTTTCACTGGTCAATTTACATATATCCTGTTTACATCTGTCAATGGTTTCCCTCTGCTCCGAAAGTTCGAAAATCAAGGCTTCGACCTTAGATTCAAACTCCCTTTTGAAAGTGCCAAAAAGTTTCTCTATAGCAGGCGAGTTGTCATCAACACTCGGGCGAGACGGGGTAGAACAATCAAAGGTTCGGGTAGAAGATAAATTGGCATTATCACTTAGCGGCAATATATTTTGATATGAAAAGTCGATAAAGTCTTGTAGATCTTCAAGGGTTGAGCAATCTGATGTTGTTTCTGTTACCTCGCTTTTAGATCTAGTATTGTCGCTAATCATAGATATTTTAGCTGTTTTGGCCACGGTTTGACTTGCATATAACAGGTTATCATTGTTTGAAGCACAAATGATAGATTCATGACTAACTATACTGTCCGTAAACAAGTCAGAACTCTTACTTGATTGATTTAATATAACCTCTTTCAAACGGTTACCTTCTTGGCCTTGAAATAACAAAGATTTCTTGTTGGTGTAATATGTAATATGTAATAGTTATTTTATCGTTTCGAAATGCCTTTGCTGAGCCTCTCGGCGAACTCCATTTCCCATCGGCACCAAACAAATCAAATATCAAACATTTCAGTTCGTCAAAATTTCCTAGCCATTTAATTTTCTTGTCAGGTTGCACTTGGAAGTATTCTTTATACTTTAACAAATTCTCGTAGGTTTTGTTGTTAGTTTCGTTCGCACAAACGTTGAGTATTTCACAAGGATCAACAACGACCGCCATGA